CCCCCCCCCCCATATTTTTCCTTTTAGTGTATTTGAGCCACTGGTCTTAATAAAGCTTCTCTTTCTAGTGTTTCCTTTGTTGTGTGTCCAGTCTCTGCTCTGCACACCCTCTCCGCGGGCCTCTCTCCAGCTCGGATGATGATGGAAAGCAGAAGAATGCAGGAATGTGGAGGGAGATGATCATCCTGGTTGCTCACTGCAACGGTCAGTACTTTGATCTACTCTGCATTTGGTCTAGACCCAACAATTTCCTGGAATATAGCGGAGAACTTTAGTTTACATGTGTCTCTCTTTCACATAGGTATCAGTGACTCAGCTGACCCATAAGGTATTTGGAAACGGTTGGTGTTTTGGACAGCCCTGTTTGGTTCCTACAACATATTTAAACTCTTCCACATTTGTTTTTAATTGCGAAAATGAAATGCCTGGAGAATTTTCAAATGTCTGTCTGACACCTGACCATGTTCTCCCCTCTGGCTCATCCATGCGCTCATACCCAAAGAATTTAACCTGTCAAACCAGATGTTTGTTAGATAAGTACCTGCTGAGGCTTAAGGTCTATTGAGTGACTTTTCACCTGAGAAGCAGAAACTCGAGAAGCAGTTTGGAATGTTTTAAGTCGTCCTTTCTAAAATGACTCACTGTAATTTTATATCGTCACAGGAAGACTCGTCTGATACATCGCAGAAGGACAGAGGTGGAGGAGATGGGAGCTTTTGCTCCTATTAACCTGGTGTTTACAGTTTAAACAGGTGAATAGGACTGTTATACTCACCCACAGAGTATTAGTTTTTAAAACCAGGTCTATTTAAGTTTGTAGCTGCTTACACTCTTAAAAATAAAGGTGCTTCAAAAGGTTCTTCAAGCGATGCCATAGAAGAACCATTTTTGGTTCCACAAAGAACCAATCAGTCAAAGGTTCTTTAAAGAACCATCTCTTTCTTGCGTTTTTGTAATCTGAAGAACCTTATTTCGCCACAAAGAACCTTTTGGGAAACAGAAAGGTTCTTCAGATGTTAAAGGTTCTTTATGGAACCATTTAGACAAAAAGGTTCTTCTATGGCATCGTGAAGCACCTTTATTTTTAAGAGTGTAGGTGATGGATGCTTGAGAATGTGAGTTATTCAAGAGAGGTCTGTTTAGTATAAGCTGATAAGATATGTAATACTCCCACCTCTGCTCTTCACTTGGCCTTGTATATTCAGGGAAAAAAGGGGTGAAGCTCACTTGAATTATGAGAAATTGTTGTCATCATGACCTGATTTTAATTTTTAATTTTTTGAGGAAGGGGGCATACCTTTCAGAAACAGAAATGATGTGAAAGGACACATTTCACTGCAAGAATATGAAGATTTGCTGTACAAATTATGCCCTTTAGAGCCATTTTAAGCCAGATATAACCATTCGGTAGAGATAAGTGAATTTGTGACAAAATGAAAAGGCAGCCTCTTAACAGGACAGATCTTAGATCGTGTTAAATTGAAAAGGTGCCTCATACCTCAGTCATGTCAGCAGAATGAGCAAACATTCCGATCTTACCTGTCTGGAATCTCAGTTATTTTTTTGTTCTCTGACCACACACTAAATTGTTCATCTCCGGTGTTTACATCCCTATTGTACCCTAAGGTCTACTTCAGAGTGTAATGAAACAAAATGATAATTCAAATCATAAAGCACGAGTGATTGTGATCTAAACATGTAAAACCAAATTAAATTACTATTTTAAATTAAAGAGTCAATGTACAACTGTTTTCAAGATTGATGATAATAAATGTTTCTTGAGCTCCAAATGACCCTATTAGAATGATTTCTGAAGGATCATGTGAAACTGAAGACAGGAGTAACATGGGCTGAAATTTCAGGTTGCCATCACAGGAATGAAATTAGATGTAAAAAGATTCATCAAACATCCTCAAACCTAATTTAGTGGTTTGAATCAGACTCATTCAGTTTGTGAACTGTTAAGAGGTGTTATTAAAATTGCAACTGACTCCAGCTGAACCGTAAATAATTTTTCTCTTATGTCGTATGGTCTGGGAACTGTTAGTTCTAATTAAATATATACACATTTTATTCTAAAAACACATCAAATATTTTACAAGAGAGTATGTTTAATCATTGTTTTGCATAGTAGGGTCCAATTATAATGTTGACTCAATTGTCAGAGAAGCTTAAAGGAGTCATGTTTCTTGATAATGTTGGTAAAGTTCTTTGCACAAAGAAAAAAAACAACTACTTTCTGATTCTCAATCTGAAATGTTTAATATGTGTATGCAAGGTGTGTGACATGTTGAAACCACGATCAACACAATATATGACTTTTCTTTTTCCAGACAGGAGGAAGTATTCTTACAAAACAGAGTGGTATTTGAGAGATTTTTTGCTATCTCTGTGATATAATAATAATTATGCAGTGGAAATGGAGATTCCATCAAATTTGTGTTTGCATAAAAGAAGGAAATCAAGAATTAAGAAGAGAGGGTTGAGGGGAGTAATTCCCCTGCAAAGCAACAAAATTTATTTATTTTAAAGGGGGTGATTCTTTTCTATACCCACTGCATAAACAAACCTTTGTGCCATACGCAATAAGTCTTTTGAATAAAATGTAGTACTGCAGTGTTTTAGGAGGGGTGAATATATTAAGTATTTATTTGATGTTATGTGAATGTTTTGTATTGTCATTGTTCTATGTAAAGCGAGACCAAAGACCAATTTTCAGCCAAGGCTGAACAATAAAGTATAACTAACTTTTTTTTTTTTTGAGCTATCGGGAAAAAAATAAATATATATATATATAGTTTTTGAGCATCTTTTGTTGTTCACTTAATTTAGATTCCCAATACAACATGGTGGGGACATGAAGTCTTTCTTAGTGCATGGAAATGACGTATTGAGTATAGACCAGCTTTCATTCAAGTTTGATGAGGAACGAGGCTAGTGATATTTTTAATACAGGGACACTCATTTCTGCTAACGCTGTTTATGCACCAAAGATACACTCGGACATACAGGTTGTGAGGAAAGAAATGTGGAATGCTTGTGTGGGTTTCTGAGGTGTGTGTGCATTTATGTGTAAAGAATGCTGCCAGACTGGCCGGTACACTCTGCTTTGAGGACTCTACATTCCCCTGGCTCTCCCACATCCCTCAGCAGGTTACCAGACCCAAGCCGGCAGTCGTCAGCCTCTCAGCTGCCTACCCAGCATTCCACAGGCTTTAGCTTAAAGAAAAAAAGAATTCCTGGCATTGTATGACTGGCCTCTAGCTTGAGGCTGATGCGCTCTGTCCTGTCCCACAACTTATAAGAACAATTCAAGTGACAGAGAAACACTTGATTGCTGACTTGTCGTGACATGGCAAACTTGTGGATTTGTTAGACATCATGTTCTTTGCCAGACACAACTGACTAGATACTTCTCCTCTCTGTTTTTGAATTAGTTGCCTGGCTTTTTGGTCAGTAACCCATTGCCATCTTCCCAGACTGGCATCGTTTGAATCAGTATGATGGAGGTACATGAATATTGGCCATTGGCCTCACATCTGAAATCTGAGAGCATGGTTACATGTCTGTATCAGCTGCTCTTTGTCCTAGTTTGAGAGGAGAGGCTGTTTTGTGTTTTTTATCTGTGTATGAGAGCTTGTGAACAGGTATGAGAGGAAGTCTGGGACAGTTATAGTCTGTTTTGTGTCTCTTTTGTGTTTGTGTGTGATAAGATCGATGTGTGAATTTATAGATGACATTGAACGTTTTGCATGTTTTAATGATCACTTTTTTGGAAAAACTTTTAATTAAGTGTGTATTATTTTAAAGGACTATTGTCAATTGTTCATTCAGACAGGAGTTTTTTTTTAAACCCCTTTTTCAACCCTGGTGACATAAGTAATTAAGTTCTGCCACCTAGTGGCCATAATATCTCATTTTGCTTGCTTCTGCATTTTGTCACCATCCTGTGATTTCAATGTCCTGTCAGTCAAAATTTTAATACAGGTGCCTTAATTCTGCTTTAATTTCTGCAAAATTTGAAACTATTTTTTTATCAAATGGCACAAATATTACTACGTTTTTTTTTTCATTGTTTTTGTCATAAAGTGCTAAATATAAAAATAATAAAAAACTTAATTCAAGATATATTCTCTGAAAACATATTGTATCATCCTACACAATATTGTCTTTCAAATACATTTATCTTATTTTAAGGATGTTTACATATTTTTACTGTAAGACAGCTAAAAAAAATAGCAAAAAAAGGCAGCATATCACACTCTTAAATGTATATAATTGATGGTCCCATGAAGAACCGTTAAATTCCATGGAATCTTTCTAAAGGCTCTAAACGGGTTCTTATGAATATTGAAATATTGTTCACACAAAGAAAAACATTTTTATTTTAAGAACTGTTGACATAAAGGTTCTTTGGGGAATCAAAAATGGTTCTATTGCATCACTACAAAAAATCTTTACTTTTAAGAGTGCAGAGGCATTACGCTGATGATACTTGCATGTTCTTGAAATATGTTAGTTGTTAGTCTATCTAAGAAGAAAAGGCCTTTGTAAAGTCAGGGAGGGAAGCAGTACGCGGTGGCACTTATTATACATTTACTGAGCATTTACTATTACCCTCTACTTTGAAAATAATGTTCTGATCAAAGTGTAGAACTGGATTTGAGTTGGTTCACCAGTTGTCTGAATTATCCAAATCTCCAGTGCAAATCTTTGAAGAAAAAAACAGAGGAAAACCATTAAAAATGCTTATAAGATTATCCTCATTCCCTTCACCATAAATGTTTGTTCTGATTTAGTTTTACTTTACTTTAGTACATTTGTGGCATGCCTATGCTATGTTATATATCAAGATCTTATTTACATTTCTGACATTTTGCATCACGTTTCATTTGTAACAAGTCATTGTGACACCAAAACTAGTCCTGATTCTGCAGCTCTGCTGTAGATAAAGGGTGCATTGTGACACATTATTTGCATGTCTGTAAGATAAACACACGTAGGTCATGTCGAACCTCCTGTTTCTGCTATTATGTCAAAGCACCAGTATATGATAACAGCTGATACACCAGCTTAAATTAACATTATAATAAGCAGTTATTTACAACACTGATTATGTATTCTATCTTTTGATGTTGTTACTGATTGTATTACATATAAAACAATGTTCTGTCTAATTTCTCAGAAGTATTTCACAAACTTTGTATCAATCTATATCTGTATTTCACAAACTCTATATCACAAAGGCTGCAAAGATGATGGAAGTCAACCTGAAGAACAAAGGCCTCAATCTGATCATCAGCTACACGGATGTGAGCATCCAGGATGCAAAAGCGGGTAAAAATGGCAAAGTGTGCAAAATTATAATTGGAAGATCCCTAATAATCACCAAGGTGAGCGTACCTGAAGATCACATTTAGTCAATAGGTAAACACCATTCATATTGTTTACATATAAGTGCTTTGAAAAGTTCTATTATGCTCACCGAGGCTGCAGTTATTGTCAGGATCCTGCCCTGACTGTCTTGTCTTTCTTTGTTCAATGTTTCTTTGTTTGTTTTGGGTTTAAGCACATGGTTCTGTCTCTGTTTCTGTCGGCCATGTGCTCTTGTCCCACCTCCTTGTTTCCCCTGGTCACGCCCCCTTGTTTAGCCCTTGTCTGCTTGATCGTTTTCACCTGATCCTCGTGTGTGCTGCTCCATATATT